CGTTCACGCACGTGTATGGATGTGCATGGTGACCATACCTTCTTGTAGAAGTCCATTATATCTATCTATGTTCCAAATCTCATCCTGTTTGGTTGAAAACTAAGGGAGTTATAGCTATTTAAAGTTTCAGCCAATCAGATTGCAGCGCACGTGCATGCACGTGTTTTCATGAAAATTGTTATATATCATATTGTAGGATATCCTAATGCATGGCTATGTACAAAATTTCAAAGGATTTCATCAAAAAACAAGAAAGATATTGAGACTTTAGTTTCAGCCAATCAGAGCGAAGCGCACGTGCATGCGCGTGAGATCTTGCTATTTTGACCATGTCATATTGTCTATGCTACTACTATATCCTTATATTATGAGTCTCAAAGCATTTCATTAAAAAGGTAAAAATTTACGCCTATATCAATAAAATCGGTCATTTCACGTGTTGCTCGTGCGCGCTCTTGCAAGCACGTGCATACAAAATGGCATGTTGACAATGTCATCTTATCTACATTTATAATATGTCTATATATTCTAAATATCAAAGCATTACATCGAAAAATGTAAAAGTTACGGCAATTTCAAGCATATTGGTCATTTCACGTGTTGCACGTGCGCGCTCTTGCAAGCACGTGCGCGCAAAATGACCTTCGTTCCGCAAATCTACATAACATGCCTACTTACCCTAAAAAGGTTTCCCCTTAATCGGATGTGTACTTTACAAGATCATTCGCGGACAAAATTTTCCCGAGAAGAAAAATAATAATAATAATAATAAGAAACAGAGTAAAAACAATATGTTCCCCAACTTCGTTTGGGGAACATAATAATAATAAGAAACCGAGTAAAAACAATATGTTCCCAAACTCCGTTTGGGGAACATAATAACTAGGTCAATGATCTCCTTTTCATGCTAGAGGCCCCTGAGAATTTCGCGGGAAAAACCTCAATTTTTCACACTATGACCATTTTTTTCTTTACTCACAAAATATTACAAGCAACAAAACTCTTTAAATAATGAAATATTATAACAATGGAACAGAGTTGCTCCATATAAAGAAATGATTAGAGTTTGGGCCATAAACGTGATAATTATCACAGTCCGAATTTCCTATGTCATATTCATATTTTTTCCCTATTTTTAATCAAATATTGCAAAAAATCAAAATCTGAATGATAAGAACTCTAAATTATTTATAGCCTCAGGTTACCTTTGTTACCCTCATTCTCATGGTATTGATATTATATGGGGTCAATGATCAAATTTTTGAGATATGTTGACTGCAGTGGTTTTTGTACATGTTTTTGAATTTCTTTATTTCACAGCATTCATTTATTTGAAATAATTTATGAGCTTAAACACGTATAAAATTTGCAAAATGACGTCTTAAAATACATGTAACCTTTACTTTGTGATTAATTTTGCAAGAAATAAAAATTTCGACAAAAATGAAAAATTAAAAATTTAGTCCGAATTCCCTCTGCATAGTCATACATTGAGTTTTGTTCCTGTATATTTTCTTCAGGTACTTACATATTAAATTTTTAAATTGATATTGAGATAACGCTTAGTTATTTTATCCATTTAGAACAATTTTTGATTGAATATATTATACTTTATAAAATTTCCTCTTTGATTTCTGAAACCTGAGTAAACGTCATCCTTAAAGTCATCATTTTATAAGTTCATTGGTGGTTACAATTACATTGTCAGCAAATACAATTTATCATTGAGTCAAATGCTAACTGACATTTTTTATACTAATTGACCGGTCGGCAGGGGATGCTCACTCCTTAATGGCACCTGATCCCACCTCTAATGTTTTGGAGGTTCTTCTTTGCTCTGCTCCTATTTTGTATTGTTTTATGAACTTCTGATTTTGAACAGTGAATACCATTTGTTTTCTCCATTTATTTCATTTATAGAGTTAATTCAAGGTTATCAATTAAATGTGAGTTATCTAATTTACTTTTATTAGATTTCCTAATTATTCAACTAACAGTTACGTAACCCATCGTAGAAAGAAAAGTTTGTTACGGCATCAACTTAACATACGCTAGAGTACCTGAATCCAGTATTTCTTTCATTATATTTCTGTTTTTATTTGGACTCTCGTTGTAGTTGATACATGTAGGAGAATTCTTTTAACATTATATACTAAAAAACCAAAATTTCTGTTAAAAGTGCTAAAAACGTTTGAAGGAATGTTGTATAAAACGCATATAGGTTAACTTAAATGAACGACTCGGGTGTTTCCCCTACCTTTTAAAATTCTTCATGCAGGTGGCTCATTGACAAAATTCTGCATTCAGTTCTTTATGATTTTTGAGCATCAGATTGGATATCAATCGCATACGGGGGATTTAAATGTCCTCAAGCTCTGTACATGTTAACAGTTAAGTGATGGGCAGGCGGGAGGTGCAGAACTCTCAATTCTAAAGTAAAAGTGGTAAGAAACATTTCTTACATTTCGAAATGAAAATACCGTACATGCATGTTTTTGCATGAAACAGATGTGTAAGTGCTAAATAAAAGCTTTGTGCAAACTCTTTCATACTTCCATTATACCGATTTTTGACCATAACATCGTTGAGAGGTCAATTTTGAGACAATGTTGTTCATGTAATGTTGTTTTAATTTGATGAAAATAAAAATTTTTATTTTGCAACCACTGCTTGTATTTTCTCAATAAAGGCAACCTAATAAACGAAAGCTAGATCTACATGTATATTCGGTCAATGTCAAGGTCTCCTACGGTGCATTCCTACGTCTAAAAACCTTGTGACATCATAATTTATACCTGGAAAGATAACTGCCATGGAGTCATAGTTTAAATTCCAGGGATGTGTCCAAATATGTTGAAAATAAGTCGTTTTGGATGTCAAATGAAAAAAAATATGCTGCAGAATAAAAAATATACATGATAACTGTTTAGAAATATAAGCTAAACGTGATAGAGAATACGCCAAATCTCGCCCTCTTTCGTCTAGTATTTTTTTCAGACCAGCGAGCTACAGACTGAAAGCTAACGTAAACGCAAAATGAGAAGTCTTGTGTAGGGCTGTATGTCTTAAAGAAGGGCACCAATGCAGAATAACGAACCAGTTTAGTGCTCTTATCAAATTGTATCAGTTTTAGCTCTCCTGAGCCGAAAGCTCAATTGAGCTTTTCTGATCATAATTTTTATTTTGTCTGTACAGGTGTCTGTAAATCTTTCATATTTTCAACTTCTCCAGAAACAATTGGCCAATTTCAATCAAACTTGCCACAAAGCATTATTGTCATCCTTAAGTAGTATAAAATTCAACCCCCAACCCCAGTAAATTTTCATTGCTGAACCGATTTGTGCTTTTTCATTGCTGATGTTATAAGGTGAGCGATATGGCCCATGGCTCTTGTTTGATTAAAATATCTTGAGAAACTAATCAACTACAGTAGTTGCAAACCGAAGAATTCTTACATGTAGATAAAGTATAACTGTACGAGGGCCGTTCAAAAATTACGCGGACTGGGCTATTATTTACTCTCAAAGACGTCATATAGTTATGAAATTTCACAGAAATATGTATCTTAAAGATTCCAATAAATTTTGAGAAAAAAATTTGTATTTTAAAACTTTTTTACAAAAATTATCGGAATGTTGATATCGCTGATGGAAAGGTACGGAGCAAGACAAAAAATTTAAAGCAAAAACATGCGGAATCCAAAATTTAACGCATTTATTTTCTATAATTCGCAACATTTTTCGACAATTTTCTCAAATATATTTTTAAATTGTTCTATTATTATGTATTTAGATTTCTGACGTGTAATTTTTGAAATTAAAAGAAATATAGTGATTTTTCTCTGATGCGATTCCCGTGAAAACGGCTGTGAAAATGACGTCTCCTGAATGGACGGCGCACCACACTTTTGTTAAATTATGTATAATGTTCGAGATATCGCCAACATAGATCCAAAATATGCATGATAAAACATGTAGTAAACTAGGGTATTTGTGACATTCGTCAACATATGGCAATGACATATTTTAGACTGTTAGACCTCTATAAAATGGCTATACGTGAGGACGGGAAGAAGATTTTCGACGAAAACTTTATACGGACTGTAAAGAACATGATTGAGAGTCACTAATATTACAATATATCTCATAAATACCTGAAGTTTTTGGTTTAATAACAAAAATGAATATTCTTTACTTGTTTATTCGATTAATTAGCTTGACAAGAAATGGTGTTTGGATGTTGAGTAGATAAGGTAAATCAAACAACTGCACAGGTGCTCTTGGGAAAATTTTGAGCAGGCGCGGATCCAGGATTTGGAGTTAGGGGGGACGCCAAAATTAGGCAAGGGGTCTGGGGGCCGCCTTGAGGCCCCCAGTGGGTCCAGGGCAAAGCCCTGGTGGGGGCCCAGGGGGCGAAGCCCCCGGAAGCTCCTGGATTCTAGAGATTTTGAAGGGTTAAAATGAGGTCTACCAAAGCCCTGGTGGGGGCCCGGGGGGCGAAGCCCCCGGAAGCTCCTGGATTCTAGAGATTTTGAAGGGTGAAAATGAGGTCTACCAAGTAGACATATTTGATTTACGCTAACTTTGACAATTTTAGGGGGAGGCGCGCGCCGGGTGCGCCCCCCTTAAATCCGCCACTGTTGAGAAAATGAGAGATCAATCACATACTTTTTATAATGCCTGTGACGTTGAAGATTTTGCGGCTCCGTGACTTAATGATATGCCCTGAAAAATCACTCAAAATTGATACTAATTTACAACATTTTTATGTGAAATTTTGAAAACCATATAAGTAAAGATTCTTTTATATTATGTGTGACATTTTGCCCGATTATATTGTCAAATATTTTTTCTGTGCAACAAGTCCGCGTAATTTTTGAACGGCCCTCGTATAATGACGATTTTAAAAAATCACATTTAACTGTTTATAACGTTCTTATAGGGTAATTTCAATACATGTACGTGTATCCAGATAAATTATAAAGTAATTTTATATTGTAGGGAGACATCATGGCATATGGTGACTATGTATTAGTGCTTTTCCTCATGATATCCTGCAGTCATGCGGAACCACGATGCATACCGAATGCCGATTGTATTTACACGTTTGGGACAACCACCACCGCTGATTGTTCATCACTGAATCTTCAGCTCCCTCCTTGCTTTAAAAGTTCTTCAAATATAACCCACATAATTTTGAAGAATAATTCGTTGAGAAGAATTCCAGTTGATTTACCAACGGAACTGGAATATCTTGATTTATCATACAATGAAATTAATTTAATTGATTCGCCAATGATACATACCATTTATAGACGATTGAAATATCTCAATTTGGACCACAATGGAATTGAAAATCTTACTTTCTTCTCTGTGATTTCCAACATGTCAAATTTAGAATTTTTGTCTCTCAAAGGCAATAATAATAGCAGAGACACCAAATATCCTAGCAACATCCTTCATGGATTAGAGTCGTTATTACATCTAAGAATTGATGGAGTCGAAGAGGGAAACTTTGGTGACATGTTCTCAGCCGATAAAATTGACTTAAAATTACTGGATGCATCTGGTAACGATGGTGTATGCGTCATTTCTCATTTGATATCCAATGTTTTGGGGAAATTTAATTTAACTCATTTGGACTTATCCTTCTGCAACATTAGATCCACTGAAATCGGTGTTCTTAGTTCTCAAGCATATCTGCAATATTTGGACGTTTCATACAATAAAATGCTCGGTTTTAGAGGACTTGCCAATGTCTCATACGACCTTCAGGATAGTGCCATCAAAGTACTTAAATTCAACAAAGTACACTGTACTTTTGGACTAGGTACTATCCTGCTGCGTAAGCACACGATATATCTTCAAAATACAACACTCGAAGAATTATACCTAGACAGCAATAGGTTGGAACTCATGGAAATAGGAGTCTTGCCAAAATTACCCAAAACACTAAAGCTTCTGTCTGTCGGAGACAACAAGGTGGATAATGGCATATATGTGTTACAAGTGGACTCTATGCACAATCTGGAGGTTCTGAATGTTAGTTTTCAAATACATTCTCACACCAACTATTTCGAACCTTGCGATGATTTCTCGGAATCATGTCATATCGGACCAGACGTTGCTCATAAATTCATTGACTTAAGCTTAAGTAAAAAAAGAATTTTTACATTTTACTTGCCTGAAAAGCTGAAAAGGCTCTACGCAAACAATAATAAATTTCAATATCATGTTGGGGAACTGCATTTCAACAACTGTAATGTGGAATTTGCACATTTTCAAGGCAATCATTTTGTTCAAATTCATGGTCCGCTATTTGGTTGTTATAATGTCAGATACATAGATTTATCAGATAATTTTTGTTCAAATATTTCATCTCAAGCGTTAAGATTTTTACCAAAATTAAATATTTTAAATGTTTCGCAGAATCTCCTCGGTAACAGCTTGGCAAAGGATATAAACGGTGAAATATTTGGAAATAACAGAAATTTAAGCGTCTTGAATTTACACGATAATAAAATACATGTCTTGCCAGGAAATCTTTTAAAGAATAATTTAAATATACAACTGCTGAATATTTCATACAACAGGATTGAGAAATGGACAGTAGACATACGCCATTTGTTTCAACTTCAGCATCTTGACTTGTCGAACAATCTCTTGACCGAATTAGACAAAACTGCTGTTGATTTATTACCACAGCACAATAATTTTACAATCAACCTTTTAGGAAACCCCTTGGAGTGTTCATGTGCAAATTTGTTCTTCTTTGACTGGATAAATAGACATCAAGCTAGACTTCTGTATTTGCAAAACACAACTTGTTCTTACAAGGATGGTTCTCAATTTTCACTTGACGATGTATCCGATATCGTGGAGATGCTACAAAAGAATTGTTCATCCTACACCCCACTTATCATTGTGACATCATCATTCATTTTCTTCTTCTTAAGCGTAACAATTTATCGAATCATCTACCGCTACCGATGGACGATTTTCTACATCTACTACCTCACGAAGCGATATGTTTTTCCGAAGGTTGAACAATCGCAGAGAAAGGTTTTCTACGAATACGATGCCTTTATCTCCTACGCAGAACAAGACAGAGGCTTTGTTTTCAATCAGATAAGATTGATGGAGAACGATGAACTGAAGTTCTGCATCCATGACCGTGATTTCATTCCAGGAATTGACATTGCTGAAAACATCACAAACGCTATCCACAACAGCAGACGAATAGTATTTGTAATGACGTCATATTTTTTGAAATCTTATTGGTGCATGTTTGAGTTAAATATGGCGCGAATGGAGAGCATCTACTCACGAGGGGGAGAGAACATTCTTTTATTGGTGTTAATGGAAAACCACATCGTTCGAGAAATGCCCTTGTCTCTTCTTCACGTTATTGAAAGTCAATCGTATCTAGAGTATCCGGGTGAAGATAGTTTTGGAAATGTAGACATTTTTTGGAGAAATTTGAAAGATGCCATTAGGGACAATCAATAATTCAGAAAAAAATAAAGTAGTTTTAGTCTACATTGTTTAAAGGCTCATGAAAGATTCTCTGAAAAAAGTCTGGCGTCGTTGTTTGTAATAACCATTTCAGTGGGTTTTTCTAACAATTTACTTCCCCGCGAACGAGAATTTTGTCAACCAATGAATTTATTCATTAAATATCCTAGTAACGCAGGAAATTACGAACCAGTATAAAAACTGTATTTGCCCATTAACGTTGATCCAACGAATTTAAATCAGTTTGTCGTGCTGCAGTTTCTTTATTCAAAACATGCCCCAAATTAAGGTTGGTTACAAAAGGAAATCAAGTTTTCAAACGGAATATTAATATACGGAAATGATGATAAGTGCAGGTTTTTATTTGTTCAATTAATGACTTCTTTTGGTAGCGGGACGAGAATTATTGATTTTCAGCATTTTCACATTGGAATATGAAATGATTTAAATATATTTAGAGTAGCTTTGTCGCTCGATCTAAATCATACTGATATGCAAACATTTTTAAGGTTCTTTTTGTAGATCTTGTCTTTGAATATGAACACTGCGTAAGGTGGGGTTAAAATCTTAATTAATATATTTATATCTACAAAGATTTCTTCTAAAATCTTCTCCAGAACAGCTGCGAGACTATGATAGTCAAATTGATATTTAGACCCCCTATTTATTTTGTAAATTCAAACTTTCTTTGTTGAATCTTGACCTCTTGTGCATAAATGGGAAGGGGGGGGGGTGTTAAGGGAACATGAAAAAAGAGAAAACTTTTTAAAATTGCTTCAGCATTATGATAGCTCAGTGTCAGTGGGAGCGATGTGGCGTGGTCTATGAAAATTCCGTTCATCTTTAAAGGGAGTAAGATTGTAAGAATAAATCACAAAGAATGATTTTTTTATTTCTATGGAATTCAATGAATCTGTATTATAAATAACATCTATCACCTGTATCTCTGTAATTATTGTGCGTTTAAATGTTTTTTCTTTGATTACCAGGGTAATCATTGCTGGAAGTAACCAGTCTAATGGTATTGACATATTATGCTGAATAAAGCGTAAACCAAGATGGGCTTCTGTATTTATTGATTTTTTTTCATAACTTTTGATTTTGTGTATTCCTTGTGACAATACCTTTCTTTGGGTACCACCAAATTTGACATTTTGATCTTGGAGTTTAATCCACTTTTACACAAAAATTCCATACTTTACAGGGCTTTCGTGCTTTACATATGTAATACTTTTGACAAGACCTTTCTTAAGAAACCAACAACTTTGACCCTTTGACCTTGGAGTTTGACCTACCTTTCAAAACTCATCCTTGGCAATAACTTTTGAACAGGTGGTGCTAGGCTTTCATATCTCACAATCGTATTTCTTGTGAGAAGACCCTACGTTGGACACCAATATATTTAATTTGCATTTAAGCAAAGTTTAATCTTCGCTATGTCATACGGGGTCATTAGTGTTTCACAAGCACATTTTGTTCCTTATCACTTTTGATTGAGAAGAGATAGGGCTTTTATATTTGACATGTGCATTACCTGTGACAAGATATTTCCGAGCATGCAATGATTTCTGGCCCCTTGACCTTCACGATTGACCTTATTTTGAAAAAAATCAACTTCGGTGATAATTTCTAAATGACATATGATAGGTCGTTCATATTTGACACAATATGTCATAAAAATGACATCTCACCCACGAAGACACCGAAAGCGGGGGACCACAGTTCTTTGAATTTGCTCTTTTTTTTTTCATCATGAGTCAATTAATGATTTAACTAAAGTTTGATAGGCTAAACAAGGAATATGTTATCTTCCCCAGCTTTCGCGAAAGCGAGGGGACATTAAATCTCATTCGTCTGTCAATCTGTCCGTCCGTCACAAAAACTTAATCTTGTCGATAACTTTTGATTTTGTGGAGCATTTTTTTTCTTAAAAACTGGATGTCATAGGTTGAACACAATTTCTGTTTACAACTGATATACAGAATCTAAACGTATGTAATTTTAAACAAAAAGAATGAAACTGACAATAGATCTAACTTTTAACGGAGGTAAGTGTATCTAAAAGCCAGTATTTGTAATTATTTCTTTCAAAAGGTCCCGGATATATTTAAAACCGCGAGGTCTCCCAAATATTTATTTTGGAGGGTACACTCTGTCTTTCCAAACAAGTGCATTGTGCCGACTGTTTTCATAATTTTGTCTTCTTAGATTGACAAGGAAAAAAATATAACATTTCGTTTTCTATCATGCTTGATTGATTATATTTATATAAAGCAGAAAATACTCAGTTTTGCAGCTAAAACTTTTAAAAAGAACCTAAACAGAGTTGCACCACTGGTTTGATTACAATACGGGGGTATTTAATTCATACATTTCTCAGAAAATAACTCCCTATTTTTATCCAGAAAATAACTTCGGATTAATAAGTTGAACTTACATGAAAATTCTTATAAAATTTCAACAAAGGCATATGTGATAACAATATAATTAACGTTACGTCAAATATCTGGGTTCACTGACTTTTAAGGCTTCTTAAAGCTTCATACCTTTGACTTTTATTAAACCTAAGTCCTACTTTAAATGTAGAACAATTTTAAACTAGCTATGGAGCACACAATAAATACATATAAGCACTTAAATCATATTAAATACACATGTATGTATGCTTTATCAGTTATTTCAGTGCATTAATTCATTTTTTATCTCAAACCCATTCAATTTATTTTCTCAATTTTTAAAATTTATTTGTTTTCTGTCTTTAGCTTGACAACTTATAAATGCGGGATGTAATTAACCCTGTTTGTTGCGTTTTTATGCATAACATAGCCATTTATTACGTATCGTAATAACAGCATCGAGACGACGAACAATGTCGGACCTTCTTTTAAGTTTCCTTTCATTTGGCTAATGTTTTATACGGCCGAATTTATTTTAGAGTTACTCCCCTTCATACACATTTAAAATCTGCATAGCTCTCAGGCATTGTTCATGAAAAATTTAATGAAAAGCCCCTAGGATCAAGGGAAACATTTTGATAAAATATCCAGATTAGCACACACATCATAAAAACACTTCTTCTTTTTTTAAATCGTTTATTCATGCAACTTATATTCAACCCGTCTCACCTCTGAATAAAACTTTTTCATGCTGGGTCCTCACAAGAGACAAAAAAGAAATAAATCAATATTAAAGCTATAACAGAATAAAGAATTATCAATGTTATGTTAAGCTTGTGTAAAATGTAGATGCTACTATTTCATGATAACCAAGCCAATAAGAGTTACCTTCTCTTCACGAAAAACTTTGTTTCAGTTTTTTAAAAACATGCTCAAGTATGTGCATTATGGGAAATAGATGAAAAATACATCTAATTAAATTAAACTCTTTCTTTTCACCGTCCTTTGTCCTCCTTGTTTATTCCTCTTTTGCGCGTTTTATGGTTTATCTCATCTATCATTAAGTCAAATAACGGCTGACGTTTTTCATACTACCAGGTAATTTTTAGTCCATTATTTACAACGGATTGGGTTTTCCCGTTTGTTCTCGATCATGACAGCGAGCTAACGGCGACCAGTCGGCAGGGAATGTTCAATCCACCATGGCACCTGATGCCACCTCTCATGTTTCAGAGGTCTGTGTCAGCTCTGCTTCTTGTTGATATAGACTTTTGACGTTGAACATTGTTCCATATCTCCATATTTCATACCGGTAAGCAAACTGGTCATTTCAATATACTGGTAATTGTTTTTGTTTAGCTATGACATAAAACAACCAATATGTGTGAAAAAAACAACATATTTTTTTATCAATGTTATAAATACTATTAGTTAACATTCAAGAGATGTTTATCCAGATTCAGTTTTTTTAGACAGCCAATCATCCTGGTATTTATACATATACGTATAAGGCGAGACTCTATCAAATTCACCAAAACCAGAACTCTTTCTTTGTAAATTTTTTTTTTTTACATGTACTACGTTTTGGATCAAGCTTCACATTTGAAATAAAATATTCACAGGTTCGAAAATCGGAAACTTAATATACAAGTATTTGAAAATGATACATGTATGTCTCGAATCTTCAATGATTTTTTTTTTGTTTCATAATCAGTCTTGACCTTACAGGTTGACCTCCATTTTAAAAACTATAACCTTAGTCATCAGTTTTGAATGGTTGGATGTTTGAATGGATGGAACTAAGGGTTTCATACTATATATATATTCCTGTAACAAAACCTTCCTTTGGGCACCAGTATTTTACCCTTTGACTTTGGAGTTTGAACTACCTTGATCAAAATTAATCGAATCCCACTGTGGGACGTGAAGACCGATGTCCCGTGTCGCAGGAGGTGCTGGCACGAAAAAGATCCCTCCCTACTCAATGACCATGAGTGCTGAGTATAGGACAAAATTTGCAGCTCTCCAGCGACAATTGGTGGCGTCTCTATATGAGAAAAAATTCTCGATAGGGACGTTAAACAATATACAATCAATCAATCAATCTTGGCCATAACTTCTAAACAGTTGACGCTATGGTTTTCATATTTCGCAAATGTATCTCCTTTAACAAAACTTTCATTGAAACCAACAATTTTGTTGGAGGATGCATCAACTTCCGGTGTTGGTTATATTTAAGGAATTGGCTTGTGTGATAATTTGCATAAACGCCGAAGGCGTTTATGCATAAAATTATCACACAAGCCAATCCATTGATCATCTTCATGAATTTGAAAAATCTGACAGTTATTCCTTATATTTACATGCTTTGATTCCGCCAATCCACGGGCTCCAAGCCTGCTTCTCTCTAGGTGTTGTCCCGCCCTGCACGTTGTTTTTTTTTGGAACCGTGCCAAAACATTCATGAGGAAATCAATTACATTTACAATTGGTAATTTTATCTCGGACAAAGACATTGGAATTGTAAATATATTAGGATAAAACCACAGCTAGAGTTCAGAATGGAACGGTCGTCTCTGAAAGGCCTTTCAGAGGGTATAAATATTTTTTACATTTTCATCGTGACCTAAGAGTTTGGCCCACTTTTAAAAAAATTAACCTTGGTCATAACTTTCGAACAGTTATAAATGGGTCTTACGTAATTCAAAGCTGTATTTTTTGTGACAAGACCTTCATTTGGGTACCACCAAATTTTACCTTTTGCCCTTGACCTTTTCAGTTTGACATGCATTTGAGAAACTTCAATCCTCGCCATAAGTTGCCATACGGGGGCATCAGTGTTTCTGGTTAAAGTGTAATTTTTTTGTAAAGTAGGTCAAATATCAAGGTCAAAAGGTAAAATTTGGTTGTACTTGAAGAAAGGTCTTGTCACAAGGAATACACCTGTGAAATATGAAAGCCCTAGTTATAACTGTTCAAAAGTTAACGCCAAGGTTAAAGTTTTTAAAAAATGGGTCATACACATGTACTTTTAGGTCAAGGAGAAAAAGTCAAACATATTTACACCCACTGAAAGGACTTGTCACAATGCATACACATGTGAAGTATGAAAGCCCTATCTCTAACTGTTCAAAAGTTATGGCCAAGGTTAAAGTGTGATATTTTTTGGTATAAGTAGGTCAAAAGTTAAGGTCAAGAGGTCAAATTTCGTGGTACCCAAACATACATCTTGTCACAAGAACAACACCTTTGAAATATTAAATCCATAGTCCCATGCATTCAAATTTTATGGGCAAGGTTTAAGTTTTTGTGGACAAACAGATAGACAAACAGATGGACCGACAGAGCAAAAACTATATACCCCCGAAACTTCTTTTATAGTTTTTGTCGTATCCTTCCGTCCGTCTGTCTGTTTGTCCGCAAAAACTTTAATCTTGCCCGTAACTTTTGATTTAGTTTAGCTATGACTTTTATGTTTCATATGTGTATTCCTAGACCTAGGCCTGTTTTGGGGTACCACCAAATTTGACCTTTGGTCTTTGACCTTCGAGTTTGACACACTTTTACACAGAAATTCTATCCTTTTACTTTGACAACTTTTGAAGGTAGATACTAGGACTTTTATACATTATATGTGTATTTTTTGTGACAAGACCTTTCATTTGATACCAACAACTTTGACCTTGACCTTGGAGATTTACGTACTTTTAAAAAAACCTTAACTTCGGTCATAAGTTTTGAACGGTAAGGGATAGAGCTTTAATACTTCTCATATGTTAAACTTGTGAGAAGACCTTTCATTGGATACTAAGAACTTTGACCTTGGAGTTTGGCCTACTTTTTAAAAACAATCCTTGACCTACTTTTTAAAAACAATCCTTGACCATAACTTTTGAATGGTTAGGGCAAAGGCTCCCATACTTCACATATTTAGTCCTTGTGACAGGTCCTTTCATTGGATACCAAGAACGTTGACCCTTTGTCCTTGATGCTGGAATTTGAGCTACATTTTAAGACTTTAACCTTGGCCATAACTTTTGAACGGTTAAGGCTATCATATTTCACATATGTAATCCTTGTGACAAGACCTTTCTTTAGAAACCAACAACTTTAACCCTTTGACCTTGACCCTGGAGTTTGACCTACCTTTCAGAAACTTATCCTTCATCATAACTTTTGAATATGTGGTGCTTGAGATTTCATATTTCAAATTATAGAGCTGTCTATTTCCTGTGACAAGACCTTTCTTTGGGTACCATCAAATTGACCTGTTGACCTTGACCTTGGAGTTTAACCCATTTTCCACAAAAATTCACAGCTAGACAGACAGACAGACGAACAGGACAAAAACTATTTACCCCCGAATCTTCTGTTACGGGGACATAACATTCTCTCATCGTTTTAGGTCTTAATGATCTTTTTTATGCCCCCGTAAACGACGTTTCGGGGGTATATATTTTTTGTCGTGTCCGTCCATCTGTCTATCTCTCTGTCTGTCTGTTTGTCCGCAAAAACTTGAACCTTGCCCATAACTTGATTTAGTGGAGCTATGATTTTCATATTTCACGTGTATATTCCTTGTGACAAGACCTTTCTTTGGGTACCACCAAATTTGACCTTTTGATCTTGACCTTGGAGTTTGACCCACTTTTACACAAAAATTTAAACTTTTACGTTAGCCACATCTTTTGAACAGTAGATACCAGGACTTAATACTTCATATATGTATTCTTTGTGGCAAGACCTTTCATTGAGTACCAACAACTTTGACCTTGGCCTTGGATATTTCCGCACTTATGAAAAAACTTTAACCTTAGCCATACCTTTTGAACGGTAAGGGCTAGGGCCTTGATACTTCATATATTTGATCCTTGTAAGAAGACGCTTTATTGGATATCAAGAACTTTGACCCTTTGACCTTTACCTTGGAGTCTGACCTACCTTTCAAATACAACTTTGAACATAATTTTTGAAGAGTTAGAACTAGGGCTTTCATACTTCACATATTTAATCCTTGTGACAAGACCTTAAATTTGATATCAAGAACCTCGATTCTTTGACCTTGACCTTGGAGTTTGACCCATTTTTACACAAAATATCAAAACTTTTACTTTGGCCCTAATTTTTAAACGGTAGATACTAGGAATTTCATATTTCAAATATCAATTTTTTGTGGCCTTTCATTTGAAACCAACAATTTTGACCTTTTGACCTTGACCTTGGACATTTCCGTACTTACGAGAAAAACTTTAACTTTGGCTATAACTTTTGAACAGTAAGGGCTAGGGCTTTCATACTTCACATATGTAATTCTTGTGAGAAGACCTTTCATTGTATATCAACAACTTTGACCCTTTACCTTGTCCTTGGAGTTTGACCTACTCTTTACAAACTTTGCATTTAACTTTTGAACGGTAAGGGCTAATGCTTTTATGCTTCACATATGTAATCCTTGTGACAAGATCTCTCATTGGATATCAAAGATTTTAACCCTATGACCTTGACCTTGGAGTTTGACTTCTTTTTACAAACTTTAGCCTTGCATAACTTTTGAACGGTAAGGGTCAGCGCTTTCATACTTCCCATATAATCTTTGAAACAAGGCCTTTCTTTAGAAACCAACAACCTTGACCCTGTGATCTTGATCCCGGAGTTTGTTCTACCTTTAAAAACGTTAACCTTGGTCATAACCTTTGAACAGGTGAAGCTAGGGTTTTATATTTCACATTTGTATTTCTTGTGGAAAAACCTTACTTAAGGTACCAACATATTTGATCTGCATTTGAGAAAGCTTAACCTTCGCTATGTTGCCATACGGGGGCATCCGAGTGTTTCACGAACACATCTTGTTTTCATACAATGTAGGATTAGCATCACAATAAGGCACCATCGTATAATGATGTTTCATGTCAAAGTACTATATCAAAATAATAACTGAGTTTTTTTAATTATTATCTCTTCGATGAAACACATTTTTCACACAAACACATGGACTTTACTCGAAAAAGAACTTGGTAAGATAGCTTCTAAAAAGTTTTTTAACGTAATTTATTATTGGCAAAGGTAAATGAGCTCAATTCAAGTTTTTAACGATATTTCTGCTTCGGAATTAAGGCATTGCTCTTGACCAATCAAATATAGTAAGTTTAAAGTAATGTGATCTCTTAAACGTTGTAACATATATATTTGCCGCATAACGGTATCAATTCTGAAGGTTCAAATAAGTATTTATCTTTAAATCACATGTATTAGACATTCACATCTAGATCACATTCATGCGCGGGTGCAATATTTTTTTTTGGGGGGGGGGGGGATGAGAAATACAAGAAAGGTAATAATTAACTTCATGGGTGCTTAGGGGGGTATTAAGACAGCTGACTTTTCTATATGTTTTCTGTTTTCGGTGGGGTTGTCATTTTTAGTTGCATGTATTTTGCTATATACTTTTAAATGCCTAAGAGATTTGCTATATATATATATGCAATTTCAGTTACTAAAAATCTCAAGGGGGTCCGACCCGCCCGACTCCCAAACATCTGCAATTGACATTGCATAATTCAAAATACAAATTGACATTCATGATATATCAAAATATATGTAATTCATATTAATTTATTAAAAGTACATCATGCATTTCTTCGACTGACTTTGCCGGAGATTTTAAATGAAATTCATAGGCCTATTGATTTTTCTTTCCTAATTTGAAAAATTAATATGAAGAAATTTACATAATTTTGTATTATTATTTTATTTTTTATTTTTTTTTTTTTTTTGAGCGAAAAAAAATAATAAATAAAACCTATCTTTGGCCTAGAGGGAGTGTTTTGAACTACATGTAGTCTTGATTTTGTGGAGACCAGCTGGCTCCAAATCATGCAAATACCTTATTGTTCATTTTTTTGTGTATGTTCTTTAAATCAACTCATTTGATATAATAAAAATCTAATTAAAAATAAGTCAATTAAAAATATTTCCTGGGGTCGTTGTAATGTGTTATAACTTCTGTGTTAGTTTTCCCTGTGTACACTATACATAAAGTACGCGAATCTAATCATTGCTTAAGATCTTGGCTGTTCGATTTACCTCCCTATCGTTTCTAAAGTATTCAGATTTATATTGGTGAAGTTTGTCGATCCTGATCATGAATAAACACAATTTAGAATCAAGTTAATTAATCTTAACCACTGATAACTTCTGTTGTAATCAAATCTATGCTTACTATTGTTTATTTTTATTTCCAAGGTAAAAATCTCAACAAGGGAGGTAAACAGAATCATCTATTCATCGGCAAATCGCACGTTTTTAATGTTGCAGATAAACTAATATTTTCCTTAGATTTTTCTGTGGTTATTGGATTATTTCTCATCGATTTTCTTGTAAATAGGTAAGTAATATCTTGAAGAATATACCTACAAATTTTTGAATTACTCAATGAAGTATACAATGGAGTATTTTGCTTGTGAAATTAAAGCCTTTGTTACAATGATCGGTCACGGAGTCCGCTATTCATGAGTAACAAGCGCTTGCTTATATTGTTCTAATCACTCTGTGACTTTTTGATGCAAACAAGCCGATTCTGTCCTTAAAGAAGTATAATTAATAGTTTACTGTCATGCCGATTAATATTTTTTTCCCAATAATGAGGCCATAATTTCACAATGTTGATGAAAATCAATAGGAACACATTGATCCAATTATCGTGTCGTTTGATCTTCTGACAGCCAGGAATGTCTTCAGACAGGGGAAGTGGCAGGGGCAGGGGTAGACGGTCCCGAGGGGGACAAAATGATGGAACCCAAAACTCAGGGCCTGATAGCCCCGCGGAAGCGAATGGACCCAGCACTTCAGTTGTATTGGAGCCCCCCGCCCCTGCCCCCAAGCCTGCTTCGAAAAGCTTTAAACCCACAGGAACAAGCATGAAGAGGTAATATAAACTTCCTGTAATATCATGATCCCGGTATTTATTATTTAAGTATTGATAGTGCAGGTTTGACTGAAGAGAAACGATGATATTAAGTGCTCTTATGACAAGGCCTCTGAGAAATGTACCTCATTTGCATATAAGATATTTTGTCATGGTTCTTAAAATCGGTCACACTTTATTGTTTATTTTGGTTATGTAATGAATCTCTGAATGCTAAGCATCATTTTAACACGCAGAATGCTGGTTTAAACTCTATGATTAACAAGAAAATGGTCAATGTTTTTTAACGGTGGAAAGGTCAAAAGGTCAAATACATGCCAGAAGAAGTTAAATACACTAAACTTCATGGGGATTTCCTAAATTTGGCAGGGACTGGTCATTTAAGAGTAAAACAGGTGTCAGTAGTACAAAATAAAATGGAATAGTTTTAGAATAAAATTTCACCAAAACCAATGGAATAAAGATGAATTAAAAAGAGATGGTTGAAAAAAAAAAATTTGCAGGTGTAACCAGCATATGCAAATTATGCAGGGTATGGTGGTCATGTTGAAGCTGTGTATGCTTTCAGGATGAATAATGGGATATGATGAATAAGATCCGAGTACTTGACCATATCAGCTTCTGAATTATATTTCACTAAATTGATCAAAATATGCATGGATTTATTGTGTCAGTGAGTCTTAATGTGTTGGTGATGCTTTCTTGAGTTTTTTTTGGTCATGTATGCAAAGGCATGCTAATGTCAAATAACATTGCATTAACATAATGTTATGATCAGTTGAAAAGATAATACATTTGGAAAATTTAAAAAAAAAAATTTAATTTTCTGATCGGAGGGTGTGTGCCAATTATGGCTGTTACTGATCTTAGTTGATAAAAAGAAATAGGTAACAACTGTTCCTTAACCAAGCACTGCAGCACTTTGGAGTGAATGTTGCATGTCATTTGGACAAAGTCTAATAAATGGAGGCATCCTATCATTGTAGCCATTAAATTGGCACAATATTATTGAACCCTCACTGCTCAATGGCACGGAGTGCCGAGTACACTATGGTGTAAGTTTAAGCCCTTTACTGGTATTTTCAAGTTTTTCTCAATGACCAATTTCAGACTTGCCACAAAGCAATCTAGGGTTATGTAGTCCAAAAAATCTAACATTTTCCAGGCTCTTTTTACGATTTTGGTATTTTACATGCCAGGAAAATGTCAAAACCAGTGCCATTACGAAAACTGAAATTCGCCGCCTCCACCTGAAGGTAGCATTCTCGGGTTAATTATTAAATCTTGGGATTTGAATTAAATGATGACTTCACAACTTATCATCAGTACAATGCCTTTAGTTCTCACAAGCATAGTTTTATGGTCTATTTATAAAATATACAGTCCAATGAAAACATTTTATCAGAGCGCTGAGTTTTGTTTTCATTTCATGCATTTTAAAATTCGACAAAACCTGCATCCAAATATCATAATGGTGTGACACTTTCTTTTCATTGATATCAGTGAGTACTACTAGCATTGTGCTACTGATAAATTTTAAGTTTGGTATTTAATTCAGTTTGCAAATTGAAAATCTGCTCTGGTTAGAGATTGCTAGTTTTCATAATGGTGCGGCTTCTGACGTCAAAAAAGTCAAAAAGCCTGGAAAACGTCAGATATGTCAGACAGGGTTAATGGAGGGGTTTCAAGGGACCATATGCCCTCATTCAAGGAGAGATAATACAGTGTACAGAATTGGTGAAAATTTGAATGTTCGATCCTTTGAAGATTTTAACTCTTCTCAATAATCTTTGTTTTGTTTGTTTGTTTGTATGCTTCTTAACATCCCAGACCCTCTCGAGAACTGTTCATTCATATGGAGATGCCATCACTTTGCTGGTGGAGAGCTGCAAATTTTGTCCTACACTCCGCACTCAGGGCCATTGAGCAGTGAGGGATCTTTTTAGTGCCAGCACCTACTTGGACACTGGACTTTAGTTTATAGGTCTCATCCCAAGGACCGGTGTCCACGTCCCACAGTAGGATTCAATCCTGCAACTTGTTACTCCGTACTTGACGACTCTAGAGCAGACACTCTAACCTCTGCACCATGCGTGCGACTCAATAATCATTGTACCTGAAAAGATGCAACTTACATGAAAGTTTCATCACAATTTAGTACAATTCTTTGTCATCCTTGGACTTTCAGTAAGGCATGCCATTCTCAATGCTGCGGAATACGTAAATAATGTCTTTCAAATGGCGAAAAGATTCTCATTGGTTTAAAAGAAATTAATAACAATAGCAACTTTAAATAGTTGTTGACAACGATAAGACGACTTAATTAAGCCCCACCTCTTTGCCATAAGAAATGCTGCCATTGGATCATTGCTACACTGTCTTGTTGACATTGGCCAAAATTTCTATCCCATGTAATATATTTTACAGTGTTTGAAAGGCTGTGTAAATTTCGCAATAAGTACGCTTATTATGTAATGTCGAGAATACGACACCTTACTGAAAGTCCAAGGATAACAGAGAATTTTACCACATGTACATCTTGTAGATTCAAATTTGTTCAAATCATGACCTCATGGGCAAGGGCAGGGCCATAATGAGAGATCAAAGTTTTACATTTATAGGAATAATATCGAGAAAATCTATTAATTAAAAATTCTTCTCAAGAATAAGTCATTATTATAGTATTAAACTTTATTATAGAAGCAACCTCAGGTACTGTAGTGTAGAGTCAATTTTGTTCAAATCTTGCAGTTGTGTGATGGGGTCACAGTAGACGAGTTTTGCATAAATTTACAGAAAAAAATCTCTAAACAGTCTTGCAGTGAGTGATATGCAGGTCTTTCAGTCATAATGTGAACAACCGGTTATATGGCCCTGAAATCAACGGGATATATTACTATTAAGGCAGTTATCACTATCAGAGCCAGGGCAAAAATTCTCTGGTTTTCATTGCTTCATGTAACTTAAAATTGTGTCTTTTTTAAGTACTTACAGACCTTTTTTTATTAGTTTGACTTTATATTATTTTTTTTTTGATCCATTTTGTTAGTGTAATGTATAACTATACATCATTTATGTACAACATTTAATTCGTACTGTACAGTATATCATGTCTATGTTTAACTTAATACAAGCAGGTATGGTGTACGTGATTAATTAGCAGTGTTACTTAAATTAGCATTGACACACGCATTAATGCTAAATAACAACTATCAGTTTTATGAAGTGTGGTATTATTAAGGTATTTTGAAATTGCCACAATTGTAATTCACAAGCAATAATCACAAAAACTAGTTTAACTAATTCAGATCTTTATATAAGTGTCTGAGTAAACATTATGCTAAGATAAAGTAAGGTTATAAAAGGTGTCAGTTTATAAACATTTTTTGGTTTGTTTGTTTGTTGGTTACTTGTTCTACAAACAACAATCAAACAACAAAAAAATGATTGGTTTTCAAACAGTTTTTCTTCATATTACTATGTAAGGGATAAATAACGAGATGGTGTTGAATAGTTTAGAGAAAACACTCTCTCCGAGGACAAAGGCCCAATAAGGAGGGGATGCAAATTTTCTCTAAACTATTCAACACTTCGAGTTATTTGTGTTAAAAAAATTCCCTACTTTGGGCCCAAAAGAAACAGTTACCCATTCAAATATCCAACTTGCTGTAATACAATAGGATGTAGCCCATTCAAATATCCAACCGTGACACAAAACAATAGCCTAATCAACACCTTTTTTATTCATGGACTAGTGAGCATGAAACTACATGGTGCTGATTTCATTTTAACCTTTTTCATTGTACTGAACAGTCATGAAATCAGACGAAGAATATTTTTTAATCCAATGTAAATTAGAGAGGTTCAGATAGTGTTTTGAATACTTTTGACCTGAAAACTGAAGAAAACTACAGAATTTTCATAAAAGGTTGGGAATTTGTCATTACATATCATAAGATGATGGTTTGTTGAGGAAAAGCGTTGAATTCTTATGGAGTTCCATTCGGACAATACACTGTACTTGTAATAGTGCTTAAACAGATAAAAAGATTGGCAGTGTTATGCTGAACCTGCTGTAAGAAATTCCATATCAAGATCTGCAATCAAAATGATGTCGAAAAATAGATGGGCTGTCAATTATTTAAGTTCTTTTGGGAAGTACGCTGGAAAAGAATGAAACAGAGATGAATCTTAACGGACCCTGAAATAATATTTAGCAATACGAAGTGATGCAGTTTAAGATTCAATGATTGATTGATTGTATATTGTTTAATGTCCCTCTCGAGAATTTTTCACTCATATGGAGACGTCACCGTTTGTCGGTGAAGGGCTTCAAATTTTGACCTTTACTCGGCACTTAGGGCCATTGAGCAGTGAGGGGTCTTTATCATGCCAATGCCTGCTGCTGACACAGGACCTCGGTTTTCAAGGTCTCATCCGAAGGACCCGTTTAAGGTAGTCCGATCCTCAGGTTTATAAAATTAGCAGTTAAGTAATCAAAAATACTCATAAAAGTATCTCTGAATCCACAAAGTTATGTAAATTTGTCCACAGTATTTCTTTAGAGTTAAAGATTACAGTTAATCATACTATATAGGGAAAATTGCCAAATCTCCAATATTTTTGCAGAGAAAGCAAATTGGAATATCTTCAATGAATTTTTTAATTGCAAATTGATCAACAATTATATTTTAGGTTTAAAAATGATAGGTATCCAGGCATTCGGAGAAATTGTCATGATTTTTATACTTATTTGGTATTTTTTGTCTGCTATTTCCGTCATATATTCTAATAGTATATCGTGTAAAAGGCCTTTGCTATCATTGCAAGACACCACAAATCACTTCGAATTTCATAACATGCTAATAATCATTGGTATCTAAGCCTGGATTCAAGAAAATCTTATTTCTCTAAAACTGTATTATTTTTCCCCCTTTTATGGAGTACACATATCAACTTTTATAAGACCTTTTCTAAGACTTCCAAAAAACATTGAATCTTATAAAGGTGAATAAAATGAAAATTGTTGCATGAAAAAAAATCATTTTCAAGCTTCGTTCTGATGCATTTCAAATTTAATATTGATTTTTGGAGTTATCATTCCTGGCTGAGGATCGGATATCCTTAAGATTCAAGGTGAAAATGTGTTTATGTGTTAAATAGTGATGATTCAAAGATTTAAGATTGAAAATATTTCTAAAAGTGTGCAAAATTCGGATGAATTGTTATTTCTGTGAGCATTGGAAGTGCATTTGAAACTCAATAAATGTGATAAATGTGAAGTTAGAACGGTTATTCCGTGTGCACTGGAAATTAATTCTAATAGTATGGCAAATTTGGAGTAATTATTTTATTTTTCACATGCATTGGAAATACATTTTAAAATTGTTTTTATCTCTTTTGTTCACTGTTTTATGTTTTATGCACCTCAGTTGGGTATTTAAATATCCAACCGATAGGCAGTTGGATATTTTGAATATCCAACTGATGGCCATCGGTTGGATATTTTGAATATCCAACCGATGGCCAGTTGGATCTTCAAATATCCAACTAGTGCTGGTTGAATCGGTAAAATAAACCTAGACTAATAACTATGGGTGACGTCATAGAAGTTTTTTAAACCCTTCTATCCAGCACACGATTATATCCTACCTGAACATGCTGAATGCCATTATAAATGTTGAACTTGTATGTTTATATACCTAGCTATTTATCCTGATTAAAGCACACAGGAATGCTTGAAAAGTTGGGAACATTATTAATTTTGCAAAAATGTTATAAGATTTAAAGCTTATAATTTTTGAAGAACACACTGTTTTCTTCCAATTAAATGTCATATATAGAACATACACATGTACTTATTAGTGTAAGTGAATAACACTTATAATTAACTTTCAATTTGGCTGTAGACATGCATAACAATTAATGTGTCGGGGTGTTCTTCAGAGATGTTTGAAATTTAAATAAAAGGAGCAGTTTTAAACTTGTAAGATCTTACAAATGAAATGTAACAAGCAATATCAAAGAATTGTGGTCTCCTTCTTTCAGGGTCAAACTCTTATTATTGGGGAGCAGTCATATTTTAACTACTTTTTCTCAATTCTGTCCATCATATTTCAGGGTTCGACATTCGCGCTCGTCACCTCGTCATTTCCATCCAGAAATGATTTCGGACGACCTGATTTTTAGTCTGGCTCGCCCAAATGACGACCTAGGACAAGTTGGGAATATTTAATAATGGTCTTTAATATTTTAAAATAAACTTCATAAGGCTTTGAAAACATATTTTCCTGTAACAAAACCAACCCTTTCAACATGTTCAAATAGCAGCCGTGTTCGATCAATCAGCTGATGCAATTTTTACCAAAAGTCTTTACTAAAGTTTTATTTGAGATATAAAATATGTCAACAATCACCTTAAATATAAAGAGTAATTATCATCATTGTAACATCTTGCATTTCCCCTACAACTTTCTGATCATCTGATCAGACAGATGATCGTTTTCTGCTGCTAGACAGCCAAGTTAGGTGTCCACTGTAATATCACACCTGGTCAATTCAGTCCAGGGTTATTTGAACCCCTTTATATAGGGCTTCATGGTAAGTGAAAATGAATGTTTTCAACTACAAACTTTTGCATTCTGCATGTCTGATCAATCATCATTCTGCTTATATTTTTGTTTGATAAAATACTGGAAGACATCTTGACATTCCAAAAATGTCTGGTTTACATTTTTTAATACAAAATTGAAGAAACACAACTTCTGTTAATTATCTAAACAAATATTAAACAATTGCACATTGAGTTTTGTTCCCTTTGATATATTATTTGGACGACCTGAAATTCATTCGGGCAACCTGTGATCATACCAAGGTTGCCCAAATGGCGAGACCAAATTTTGACGAGTGTCGGACCCTGTATTTAAAAAAAAAGTTCTTTATTGGAGTAATATTAAATATTGTGTTAAATTAAGTTATGAGGTCATAAACCATAAGTTTTGACACAGGTAATAATGGTGTGAATATGAAAGCCTTCTCTCATTCAAAGCTTATGACCTTGTTTAAAGTTTCTGTGATAGACAGACACTATATGCCATATATGGATGAACAGACAACTGGACAAAAAAAGATTTCATGTTCCCTTGATTTTGCAAGGAGGGAGGAAGAAAATTATTTGCATTTTCTCTTTGAGAAGGCAGTAATCAGTAAGAGTTTGGATTTTTCAAATGTAAATAATTCCAATCTTCATTTTATGTATTGATTTCCTGTGTTTTGATTGGACGAGAACACGTTCCAGAAAATTTTTACACATCGATAAATTCTTTCAATCAGAACTACTTTCTTGATGACACTACTAGGTTATCGTATAAACATAAACAATGAAAGCAGTTATTTCTGGGTCTGTTCTGGCTAAATAATGAATACAAGAAACTTTAAATTTAATTAGGGCTTAAACAAAACTGGCAACATACTACACTGCCTAACTGATGGACGCCGTGAAAATGTTTATGTCACTGTCCGATCATGAGTGTGAATTTTAAAAATCGCTGTCTCAACGTTCATACGTAGAAAATAAGCTCAGTCTGTATCGTTTTGACAGAGAAAAGAAACGTACCTCAAACTCTTGCCCTATTAGCATCAAATTCATATTTACTTTCTATATTGTTCCTCAATATTTGAATAAACAAGTGCAAATTGAAGGCGTCGTCGGTCTGCAACTTTCGCTATGAGAGTTGTTGTTTATGTCAACATGGCCATGGTCAAAGACGAACTATTCTGAAAAAGCTCGTAATTACGATATTTGTTGACTTAAACAACATTCGATTAGTTGTTATAAGTTTATTTATCGATTGTTTTGACAATTTAAGTTGAACTCTATCGAATTCATCTCGATTCGTTCCTTTACGGTAAAATGTATTCCTACGCCGTCCAGAAATAACTGATTGTATGGATGCCTCAAAGAGAAATAATTTAAATATTTTTAAAAATTCGATATTGGAATTATAAGAATTAAAGTTCTTTTTGAAAAATTTATCGATGTGTAAACCTTGACATTTTTCACAAACTTAACATAAAAGTGCTTCGCACTTTTATTTAGTTTGTGAGTAAAATGTCAAGAGTTTACACATCGATAAATTTTTCAAAAAGAACGTTTAATCCTATAATAAATTACAATGTAGGGCAATTACAGGGGGCAGCAGTAACAATTATAGTAGTCGTTTGTATAGATACGACAGTAAATTATGTTGAATTTTAAAGGACAAGATTGGGTAAAGGTCAGATATAGCCTAGCTGATTCTAATTTGATTCAGATCTTACATGTATAAGTATATAGGCCACAACAGGGTGACAAAGAAGAACATTTTTCCAAATTTTCTCAATTCTGGTGAAATTTTGTAAATGCTTTTCAGTTCAGTTGGTAACATAGCTATAGAGCACAAACTTGCCTACCTGAGATTTTAATGTATATACACAGCAAGTACTCAATACAAGATAGGCATGCTTGTGCACTATGTTTTCTGAAACAAAATATGCTTTAAAACTGATGAAAATTTCAATATTAGTACATGTAGTAAGAAAAATTTGAAATTTAACTTGAAATTGTAAGATTTCCAGCTCATTTGATTCAGTCACTCAGGCAAATTTGTTCATGAGACTGCATATTGATTTTTCAGGGATTAGGTATAATGAATTTTTTGAATTCATGAATTTACAATATTATATTTATTCAGCACATTTGTCATCTTCTTAATTAATACATGCATGATTGTATTATATCTTTGGTATCTTTCAGAATTCAAAAAGAATTAGCAGAGATTACAATTGACCCACCTCCCAACTGTAGGTGAGTTAAATTTTATTTTAAATGATTTTGAAGTACCAGAGGAAATATCCCAGTTGATATGTACACTATATGAATAACCTTATTTATATTCAGTATTTTCATGACAGACTGTTCTAATGTGGATGTAGTGAATGCTGTTGAATATTAATGCTTCTCTCTACATATGGCTCTATTGATTTTTTTCAAGGTTAATTCTCCTTTCTAATTCTATGGGCATTTGTGCAGTAGTTATATTTATAGAAGCATGTATATCTGCTGCACATACAGTTATCTAACATTAAAATTGATATAAAGTCTTTGATTCAATTTTGATGGGTTACCTGGCCGTAAAATCTATGTAATTATCTTTCATGGCTTTGTTTGAATTTTGATTGTATGACTGTAAAAGAAGTGAGCAAAGTGGCCCCATAATGATGACCCAAATAGCTTGTACAATACAAGTAGTACATTAAAGTACTTTTGTGAATTAGACCCTTCACTGCTACACACTTCAGGATTAAGTTTGATTGAAGATATAAAACTTTGATTATTTTTACTCAAGCCCTAGAGGGGCTTGAGTTATCTAAAACGATGCTAGGTCATCGATTTACTCAGTTTAAAAACACGAAATTATATTATATTTGTAGATAAACATATTTCTAGAAACAAAAATGAAGCATATGTTGAAAACGTCTGTATATTAAAAAATATTAAGTGTTAAAAGTCCCATTCTACAGCGTATGAACAATGAGTGAAGCGTCGCAGCTGCAACAGTTTCTATACAGAGATTTCGCGCTTTCATTTGCGTAGGAATCTCAGGTACTTTTTACAGTCGCCGACAAAGCATCTTTGGACGAGTCCACTGGTTACTCTGAAAGGTGACGCAGGTTACCCCATTTCTAATTGTCCTTCTCTTAACAAATTTTCGAAACGCTTATTCTCGCAGTGTTGGTCTGATTTCAATATAACTTGGCATAACTTCACAAGTAGACTACACTAAGATACATTATTATCTGTCAAAGTTTTACAATGCGTAGCAAAAAAATGTATGGCTGTACCCCCAAACTGAAATTGCCTATAACGGGCCTGAAAATGATGTGCACTTTGAGTGACAGTAAAATAATAGCGCAAAATTAATGTTAATTTCTCCCTCATACGTTTTTTTTTTATTTTAAAAAATCGTACTTTCTTCAGCTTTGGTAACGGAACCTAAATAACTTCTTTTGGATTCGAACGGAATATGTACTGTACATGCCGCACAGTTAGATGTACCCGTATACCGGTAATTACGTGGCTTTTTGGAGCCCTGAGCCCCCCCCCCCCCCCCTTCCACTTTGAAAAACTTTTCTTCCGACTTGCAACAAGCTATTTAGATTGATGTTTATAACATGTTTTTATGTACGTCATTAAGCAAAATTAAAAAAGCGTATAGTTTGAAGTATATGAAATGTCTACATAAAAAATATTTTATTAATTCAAGAAACGTCTACTATACTCTATAAAATATTCCTGAAAGTGAGTAACGTAAATTCATCGTATAGTACGATAAATTATATTTATTCTAATTAACTTCATTATATGAATTTTGTTTCATGTACATGTATATAATTCAATAGAAGATTGAACTCAATAGCCCACATTATACCATTTTAGGATATTAATGACTTTTCTTAGTTGATTTTCTACAGCTTGAGTATCTCTGACTTTTTGTCAGTATATACTTGTTGTATAGGGGATTAAGATATAACTTGACGTGTTTTATTATCTTACAGTGCTGGTCCAAAGGGAGACAATATGTACGAGTGGGTGTCCACCATTTTAGGACCCCCGGGGTCAGTGTATGAGGGTGGGGTCTTCTTTCTGGACATTCACTTCTCAGCAGATTATCCATTTAAGCCACCAAAGGTACAGGTTTTATTTGTTGTCAATGAATTAAGAAGCATGACAGGACAGATTGCATGTTGTATTTAAACTAGACTTGGCAACTCATCTAACCTAGAGAAACATTAATCAGCGGGAATGATGGTAATCAGTTGCAAATGAACAATGGGCTTAATCATCAAACATGCATGTTCTTTATTGTTTTATCATGGTTATTAATTTTCATGAATTTTAAAAACTGTTTTCTGAGTGGAATGGTTAAAATTTGTAAATAAAAGTTTATTTTGATGATTTTGCATCATCTTTTTCTACAAGGATGCTCTCTTTGCTGTGCTTAGCCAAGTTTTCATACAATGGTAAATGAAAAAACAAACAAACTATTGTTTACACCACAGTATGTGACATCCTTTTACGAATTCACCTGAATCACTCAGGTAAACAACTGCTCTCTGTTTTTGTCATTAATTATCTGTTGTGCATCAGTCATAAACTTTTGAAAATAATCTTTGATAGATGAACCAATTATTAGCTTATACTGTATCATTTAAATTGCGAATTTCAAGATACCCCCCTTCCCCGGGGCTAAGGGTTGGGGTAAAACCTTCCAGATTTAGTCTTTAAAGAGCTTTTCCTTTACTTCTGCATGGATATAAAGTAATCAAATTGTTGTGATGATTATAATAAAGATTGAGCACTAGATATACCCAAATTTTGAAATTCATGGCCTCAATATTGGGGGCACTGGAGTTGGATGGGCTCAGTTGATCATATAGTGAAAATGAATGGCCTGATCTTGTAAAATCTTCACTCCTCTGTAGATTTTGCAAACAAACTATGTCCATGGTGCGGAATGATGCTTCAATTTTCCAAAATTAGAATTTCATGTCCCTGCATGAGTCAGCAGTTCTAATGTTAGAGTAGGGCATTATCATGAACATAATGAACATGGTTTATCTTTTTCAATAAAATTTACCTGATAATGTGTACTAGGATGTAACTGAGTAGAAAGAAATTGCATGTTGATGCAACAGACAGGATAATTGCATGGTCAGAATATGTTTATTCTGCTTTTGGCTCTACCATGTTTAACAAGAATAGATATGGGTTACCCCATATCCAAAGATATTCGACTTTTGAATTTAATATGTTTAACAGTGTTTAATGACTTTTATAAAAAAATAAACTGCGCTGTCTAGTTGTGGAACTGGTGTAAATTTTGTGAGTCCGTAGCATTATGGTCACCCAGTCTCATAACAAACAGTACACATACGTGTGTCCGCAAGACCAGTTAGCCTTGGTCTACACACATGCGATTTGTCAAACGCATCTAGCGACCTCGGAGAAACACGTCTTGTTTTGCCGAGAAGTTACGATGGCAGACAAAACTTTTTTTCTTAATTAGATCATATGAATACGAATTCTGATTAATGAAAATTATACAATCCCTGCTGAACTACTCAGTATATTTTGTTCTAACAACTAGCATCTGCAACAAAGTGTGTTTAAAATGTGTTAGGAAAATCAGGGCCGGGCCGAGAAATTCTAAACTGAAAACCTTTTTTTTTAAATATACTACGGTATTCGTCACGGAACTTACTTATATAATTCAAATTCTATATAAAATATTAATAATATGCTGAACTTCAACACGAACTCGGTTTTCAGTTTAGAAATCTCCGACCCGGTTCGGGTTTTGCTACACATTTTATAACTACGCTCCCTACAGTTTTACACAGTCTACACACGAGCAGAATCTGGCCAGGGATTGAAAATTCCGTCATTTAATAATACACACACGCAAATGATTAATTTTTTTTCTCTAAGAGGAAACTACATGATAATTAATGAACATGCAATTACCATGAACTTAATACAGTTGTTGATATAGTATAATCAATTCATCGGTAAAAAAATATCAATCGAAAAATGACCTAGATATTCTCTATTAACAAACATGTTACAAAAAAAGCTGAGGAGAGAGGAGGGAGCGAACGTAGGAATATTAATATTTTTTATTTGCATTTCGGGGGGAAAGTGATCTTTGGAGAAAAAATTTACGTTAATTTTGGTTTCTTTTACGTATGACATACACAGCATTATTCTTATCATGAACAATAAAGTTGTATCTACTTATCATGATGAAACTATTTTCGTCAGAACAATTTGTGTGAGTCGCCGCTTACTACAGTAATATATCTTGAATTGATAGTAAGCACTGATCGAATATATTAAAAACACTATATATAGAAACATTTTTTTATTGCACTGTTCTATAAATGCCAGGAATTATAAAAATTGATGAACATGCATAAGTGTGCTTTGAAAATTAGTTGTAAATTTATGACAAAGTGCAATGCAAAAAAAAAAAAAAAATGATAATTCAATTAAAACTTAAATATTTTTAGCTTACTTTTTAAAATATCAAACTTCACATCATATGCATGAGAGTGATGTCTTAAATAATATGTTCATTTAGGCATTTAAATCAATATACAAACCAAAAAAAAAAAGAAAAACGGTACTAATAATAATTATAATAGCACTCTTATCTTTATATAAAAGAAATGACAACAAATCATGCACATATAATTTTTTTAAGGCATGAACAGCAGAAAGAAAGTACCGGTAATTCATGAAATGGTATTTTTTGTAAGAATTTAAAACATTATTAGTCAGAGATGGCAATTGAAGTAGAATATAGGGAGTTGGGGATGTGGGAAAAGTGAGATATCTCTCAAGGAAGGAAATAGGAAATCCAATGAAGGATGTGTTTCACTGTCAGAGGTTTGCTGGGAAGATTTCATGGCAGTATCAAGTAGGAATACGCTATGAGCTAAAATCAATCCAGCTAACCTCATTACTTGCTTTTGAGGCATGCTGTAGATTTGTCTAACTGTATTCAGCTCCAGTTCCTTGGCTTTGTGCACAATTTGTTATTTGTAGAAAGATGTTATTAGAACAAACAGCAGTATGTGTAAATTGACTGGATTCATTAAAGATAGATGAAAGTGTTAATATAAGAGCATGATAAGTGTATGTGTACTGTGTACAGTTTATTTTTAGTGATAATTTATTGGATTTAAGCACAGCTCCAAACTGAGTTTTGAATTATTTTGTTTCATACATTATGTCCCTAAGTGTCAATCTGTTTGACTGGTAGATGAACTTTCACAATCATGTATACAACAGCTTGTACTGAAATGTCAATTACCATACAAGATCTTTTATCTCTTTTGATGATAAAAAATGAATTGATACTCATATTCTTTTGCACTGATTTATCAATTTTTTTCGTCATGTTTAAAAGAAATGTAAAAAAAAAAAAAAAAAATACAGGAGATTTGAAAAAGAGATGTAACGAGATAGCGTGTGTCATGTAGATATGTTTGCTACATTTAATATGCACTTAATGCAGGTATGACATTGTTGTCATTGTTTGTGTACACAGATTGAGCGATATTATCAATTATTATGCTTCCTGTCAGTTTGTCTCTATATAACCCATACCCTACTATTCTCGCATAGTGGTCTAAGGATTTATATAGCGTAAGCATACTATGCCGAAATAGTGCACGGCTTTATTTACTGAATAAAATTCTTCCATGCACATGCCGGGGATCGAACTCACGACCATGAGATTGTGAGTCCGATGCCATATCGATTACGCCATAGAGACGATCACTGATTAGAATTATTTTATTAAATATATAAACTTAATTTATACAATTGACACAAGAAGGAGAAAATAGACAAATATTATTTGAAAACAGTTATATTATTCTAAGGAACTTTAGATTAATGTGTACAACAAACTTTCAAACTAATTACATACAGATCGTTAGATGAACTGATTTTATAGGGTCATTAAAACGCTTTTTTATATGACGCTTGATTGAAGGATGTAAAAGAAAATTATCAATGAGAATCGACGTCTGCAAACAAATAAGGCTTACGAACAAAACAGAAAATAAAGATGTGTTGCTTTGGGACAGAAAATCCCGACTTATTTAGAGAAAATACTAGTAACCAAAATAACTAAGCATGCAAACAATTTTAGCATGAATATTTTGAATTAGTTCTTGCAGGTGCGCTGTTTAAGCACCGATATTTTCAGGAAAAAGTCAAATAGATTGCCGCATAAATAATTACAACAGTCAGCATAATAATAACAATAGTGTTGCATTATGCATGTACTATGCCTAAATAGTAGGCAGGGTTTGACACATAGTGCACTCGCCTCCGGCTCGTGCACCATGTGTCAAACCCTGCCTACTATTTAGGCATAGTACATGCATAATGCAACACTATTATATAAACATGATCAGTCTATATGTTCAAAACACCGACAACATTGTTCTCAACTTTGTTGCAAAAAATTTCAGTCTGCTCAGTTTAAAAACCTAATCTGAAGGTTTTTTTCCCTGTTGTATGGTTGATTTTGCCTCAACACCTGTTTAATAAAATTAGTAGGGGAAAGAAATCTTCAAGCTTGACTGCTCCTGAATGAGAAACTGTAGCTTTCACTGCAGGTTTATTAGGAAACTACAAGGCCATTTGATCCTTAGGATGACATAAACTTAGCTACTAACCTGTCACTGTATCAAAGAAAGATTTGTCTAATAAAAGAAATCTAATTATTTTTGAGATGTTAAACTATTTTTATAGGGACCTTTTTAAGACTTAAAGCATGTACCTGTAATCATCTCCGTTTATAATTAAATCAATGAGTAATTAAAAATCCCTCCATGCAGAATCCAGTGCATTGTACAAACAAAATATATGTGTTCCACCCAAACTCAAAACATTGTCCTTATCAAAGGATCGCAGTTTGCTTGATGAGAAAATACAGCATGTGCTTTCCACTTAATTAATTTTTCATTCATATATAAACTCCATTCATTACGTTTTTCAGGTGACATTTCGCACTCGAATTTACCACTGCAATATCAACAGCCAAGGAGTGATTTGTTTGGATATTCTAAAGGACAATTGGAGCCCTGCTTTGACTATCTCCAAAGTGTTGTTGTCAATTTGTTCACTTCTCACGGACTGTAACCCCGCCGATCCATTGGTCGGAAGCATCGCTACACAATACACTCAGAATAGAACTGAACACGATCGAGTGGCTCGCCAGTGGACGAAGCGCTTCGCCACAGGACTCTGATCGCAATCCAGGGGTTTATTTATCATTTCGAATTTTGTCTGTCACATTGTACTTCATATTATATACAAAAAAACATTTTATTATTGTATCAAACATTTTTTTTTTTTTATTTTGTGATGAAATGTCTTTGACAGTGTGGTTATTTTTTTACTCCAAAGACTTTCCTTTATGAAGTTTTAGTCACTTTACAAGTTTTATTTTGACAATACATGTATTTTGCAGTTGATAGGAAAATTTATTATAATTTTGACTATTTATTTGTTCAAAAAGATATTTACCGTGAAATGAGAATCTTAACATTCTTTTAATATCACTTTTTTTGGTTGAATAACACTTTTAAAACAGAATGTTAAATTAACAAATAAAATATTTTAACATTCTGGCCATGCATCTTAGGTTTTAGAATTTTTTTCTCTTTAATAAGTGAAGTTTCAACTTTATCGCAGTTTCAGGTGTTGTTTTTTTTTTTTATTAATTAAATCAAATGGCTAGAATGTTTTATGAAGATATTTTACTTAAAAAAACAAACTTAATCAATGCTTACTGTCAATGAATGACATGTACATGTGACATGTACAGTGGAGCCTCATTTATCTGGACGCTTTGGTTCCTAGTCAATTTGTCCGGATATGTGAAGCGTCCGGATATCTGAATCACCAATTAAACAAGACAAAATAACATTAAAAAATTCCGTTCTGATGAAAAATCGTCCGCATACTGAAGCATCCGGATATCTGGCGTCCGGATATCTGAAGGTCCACTGTACTCGTGATATAAAATGTTTTTCTCTTGACGACAAACTGTAGAGAATTAAACAGTTTTATTCTCAAGTGACAGGAAAGCTTTTAAAATGGGTATTAATAAAGAATGCCATTATTTATCTGTTTATCTGAAAGAATGCTTGAAGCATAATATCTATTTCATCTTCAAATGAAGAGTTTTTGTTTGATACGTGTGCATGCATATTTCCATGCCAGCTGTAACTGCATACCGGTATTTGATACGTAACAACATAAGAATGCTATATGTGTGTGGGAAGTATAGACAAATGGTGAAAATGATAACTGGTTGCATCATTTTGTGATCTTGTTTGGAATTCTATGGAATATATTATTTTTTTGTTTGGTCAAGTGCTTACCTACTTGTAAGTGGTTGTCTTTTTTTTTTTTTTTAACTTTGAAGTGTGTATGGAATGGTATATGATACATTGTCAGTATGTATGTAGTGTACAAATTTGAAATGAAGTCAAGACTTTTGCAGAGACTAATGTACATTTACTGATAAGTGAATTTTATTCAAAATTTAAAATTAATATTATAGATACAACTTGTAATATATTTCATTTAGTTTATATTGTTTTCTTTTCTCAGGCATATTATTATGGGATTTATCTTATGCCAACTTAATGTGGTCTGAATTACTGAGTATATTTTCAAACTAGGATCTACGTACATTGTATATAATGTACAATTTAAATTCTACATAAAATGCTTTATAATTCTATAAAAATATAAAATGGTCTTCTAGATGTTTCAGGTATGTTAAATTGGTACAAGTTTTAGCGTGAAAATGGGTGCATATTGAATGTATAGATATTGATTTTTTGCAGATGATTTTATGCCAAATGAATGTGTATGAATGATCACATGTTTTATGTGAATAAAGTTGTCTAATTGTAGTTGATTTTTATTCGTCTTTATTATTTGTGGTCGTTCTGATAGTGGAGACAACCAAAACTTTAAAAAAGGAATAGTCAATAGAATTAAGACTAGGAACTTGGCATGTGATATTTGGAAATGGATTTTTTTATATTCTCCACTACAGAGAACTATGGGTTTCCTCTCCATATGTCTGTTCCTTTTTCTCTCAGTCTTTCCCACTTAATATTTATGCCCGACCATGAATATGGCCGGGGCATATAGTGTTTGTCATGTCCGTCCTTCTGTCACACTTTGCATTTAGCTCATTTCGAAGCTCAGTTTCAAAGAAACTACCCAAGATATTTTCATCAAACTTCATATGCTTATAGATAATGATAAGAGCTATGCAACTGCATCAACATTTTTGACCTTGACCTTTCCTTTGACCTTGACCTCACTTTTCTTAAAAATTGTTTAGCTCAGTTTTAAACATACCATTAAAGATAGTGTTATCAAACTTCACATGTTGATACATACTGATAAGAGCTTTTCAACTGCATCACCATTTTTGACCTTGACTTTTTCTTTGACCTTGACCTCCCTTTTCTTAAATTAGTGTTTAGCTCAGTTTTAAACATACCATTCAAGATGGTGTTATCAAACTTCACATGTTGATACATACTGATGAGAGCTATTCAACTGCATCACCATTTTTGACCTTGACCTCACTTTTCCTAAATCAGTGTAAACTTTCATATGCTGATACATACTGATGTTAGCAATTCAACTGTTTCAACAATTTTGACTTTGACCTTTCATTTGACCTTTGACCTCACTTTTACCAAATTGTGTTTAGCACAGTTTTAAAGAAATCATTCAAGATATTTTTATCAAACTTCATATGTTGATACATATTGATAGAGATATTCAACTGCATCAACATTTTTTACCTTGACTCACTTTTCCCAAATTGTCAAACCTCATATGCTGATACATATTGATGTAAGCAATTCAACTGCATCAACATTTTTGACCTTGACCTTTCATTTGACCTTGACCTCACTTTTATCAAAAATGTCTAAGTCAGATTTAAAGAAACCATTGATAATAATTTTTTTCAACTTCATATGCTGATACATACTGATGAGAGCTTTTCAACTGCATCAACAGTTTTTGACTTTGGCATTTCCTTTGACCTTGACCTCACTTTAAAGAAATGTGAAACTTCATATGATGATACATACTGAAGTAAGCTATTCAACTGCATCACTATTCAAGATTATTCTGACCAAATTTCATACACTAATACAAATTTTCATGTTGCATTACTAATATACCCTCGGCGGGGCATTCATGTCCTATGGACATATTTCCAGTTCAAATTTATTTTCTAGGCATTTTCAGCTCAGCTTTTGACTTTTATTGTGCAAGTTTTCTTGATCAAATACAAATTTGCAAGTCACTCCTTCTGGATGATTTTGGATGGAATTATGACCCATTCTAGATGCAATAATGTAGCCCTGTCCGGTCTTTTTAATCTGATGTTTTCTCTCCCCCCCCCCCCCCCAAAAAAAAAAGGGAGAGGGCTACATTATTGCAGCTAGTCCCATTCCAGTAGGAAACTCAGTATTGATAATACAGGACTCCCCAGTGCTTTTGAAACTGGAGGGGACTATAGTTTTCCTCCTCAACTATCTGTTTGTCCAGCTGTCTCTCTGTTAACTTTTAACATTTGTGATTCCAGAACCACTGGACCTGGCATAAAGCACCGTTGGGTTAACGGATTTAAAGTAATTGGCCACAGCCTCTTAAATTAATGAAAAAAGGTGAAAATTTAAATGGATGCATGCGCAGATCTAGAGGGGTCTGGGGGTCTGGACCCCCTTGGAATTTGCAGAGTTATTTAAATTTATATACTAAACCAACTATATGTGACCTTGGACCCCCCACCCTCCCCTACAAAATGCAGACCTCTTTGAAAATGCAAAAATGTGTTCAGTTGAAATGAAAAGTCATAGATATAAAGCTTTAGAAGTCAATATATTATATATAGGAAAACAATCTTGTATAAGTCGTTTTTTTCTGAATTGGGGCAAATTTAGATGTCAAATTAATAAGCAAGCATCTGCAGATCAAATACATCAAGTTCTTCAAACTATGCGCTGTGGGGTTACAGTTCTGAAGTACAGCTAGGTCAATACCCACGAATGAACTCGTTTGTCAGTTGAACTTTTTGGGTTTAGCTCTTTTAATTTATTCTGAGGATCTCCATACGAATCTTAATTTACAATAATTTGCAATACTTTATTTGTGGACTATTTGATTTGGATGAGAGGGTGGCAGGCTTTGAACATAACTATGGCACGCCAAATTCATAAAAATTAATAAACCTAGTTTCACAATTGATAAACTAGGTTTATCGACTGTAAACTATAGTTTATAAACCGTAAACTATTGTTAACGATTCGTTAAGTATAGTTTTCATCTGTAAAACTATATTTAACGGTTGTTAACTATAGTTTACGAATGCTAATCTAAGTTTATCTGTCTGTAATAAAACGTTAACAATAGATTTTGTTGATAAACATAGATTCACGTTTGTAAACTATAGTTTACAATCGTAAACTATAGTTAAGAGTTGTAAATCATAGTTTCACAAATCGTGAAACTATATTTATCAGATCGTTAACTATAGTTAACGGTTTGTAAACTATAGTTAACAAATCGTGAAACTGCATGTATTTATCAGATAATCTATGTTTTGCAATCGCAAATGATTGTTTTTGGTGTTCAGTATAGTTTACGGTTGTGAAACATAGATTTTCGCGTTAACTATAGTTTACAGATGTAAAATATAGATTAACGTCGTTAACTTCAGTTTACAGTCCGTAAACTATAGTTTACAACCGATAAACCTAGTTTATCGACTGTGAAACTATGTTTAATTTTGCTCATTTTTGTGAATTTGGCGTGCCATACATAACGCAAAACCAGTCCTTAAAATGAAAATATTTTAAATAAAAAATAGGTCTCCACTGGGATAAACTACTAGTAAAATAATTTCTAGCATATTTAAAATCTCTTTATGAAAGCTCGGATATTGAAGGTAAATAACGAAATGCAACTCAGTGACAAATGGACCCCCACCCCCAGCTAGTGAAAATAATTATTAGACCTGCACAAAAACTTATCAAAAATACACACGATTTCCTAGTCTACCATTCTCGGTTATACTTCGTTATCTGATATCATTTTCCGCTTTTGTTAAGATTTAGAGATTGGCCCTGTACGGTATATAAAAAAAAATTAACAACGCCATCCATTCGCCAGGTGCCTGTGAACATACTACATACACCATCCTGGTCCGTGTAACACTTAACAATTCAAATTTGTAAAATGATTTTGAGTTTTAGAATGTTAAATATATTAGTTCAAATTTCTCCAGTAACTTTCAAAAACTCAAACTGATTTGGTATATTGAAATTTAATATTGTACATGTAGTTCAAAAATCTAAATTTTCAATATTCCAAACAGGTTTTAGAATTTTAAGTTTTTAGATTTTTACCTTAAATATTCAAAATTCAACAATCCAAAAACAAATTTTGTATTTTAAACTTTTGAGTTTTTAATGTACCGTTTCTTAAGAACGCTTAACAATCTAAAATTCAATAACATTTTTCGTCCTTTGAATATTTAAAATTTACTTCGAACTTCTAAATTTCAACTTTGGAACGTTTTAGATCTTTAGAAATTTAGAAGTTAGATTCAAATATTATAATTCAAATATCACTCTATGAATAAGTTAACCTTACAAAAAATTTAATTTACTGTAAACAGCTGGTAAAAAGAGTTTGTAATATTTGATTTTAATTATGGCATATCTATAAGCGTACATCCTGCAAAACTATCCAAAACTGATGATTCCATTTATTATTTTTTTTGTAGTCCCCGTTTAGCCCTATAACAAATGAAGTCAATTTTCCCGCCAAATCTTTGTTACTGGGCCGTTCTGCGTAAACATATTTTCGGAACTCATCGGGGTGCTGCATCGAGAAAACAGCAGAGAACCAAGAAAATTAAAGGACTGAGGAGGTCTGTCATTCAGACATGAAAGATCGATTAGAATACGATGTCAGCAAAACAAGTAAGGTAAGGACAATATAATGATCTATATGTTTTGACGCAGAAGTCTTAAAATGTTAAAAGAGAAGCGCATCGGAATAATAAAGGCTGAAAAATCTTCGTTCGAATTATCTCAGCAGAGTTTACAAGTTGACGTAACCACAGGTAATGTATCAATGATAAGTTTTCAAATACATGAAACATAGAAAAACTTTACTCTAAATAACATGGAAAAGTATTTCTCTGTGTTATTAAATGAAGCCAATACCTATCGTTTTTGTGAGGTTTAACTGTTAAATACCGTATTTTACCACAGGTTTAAAATCACATCTCTAAAACCACAGCCACAGGTACACGTGCCTTTTTTAATGATGTATGATGCGTTGTATTATAAAGAAAATTCATAACATTCTACCTTACGTTTTCATATATTTATTAATCCAACACCCAGCTCCAAATTGCTTTGAAAGGCACAGTATTATTATGATAAAAACAAACAGTAACAGAAAGGGAGAAAAGTGTTGTAGACCTGACCATGATTCGAACCCTGCCCTCTGAATCTCCAGTCAGGTGCACTACCGGCCAAGATAACTGACCAAAGATGCTTCTCCCTTCTTAAAAGATCTTAAAGATTCTGAAAGATCTAGAACCCAGAAGACATCAACCCAGGCTTTTGTCTGGCAGGTGTACATCTGTCATTTCCATTTTCCAGAGCATGAAACAGCACCAAATGTAACAGAAGAGGACAAGCATGTTATGGACCAAACCATGATTTGAACCTGAGACCCCTGTATTTTCAGTCAGGTACTCTAGCTATTGAGGCATCTAGAAAATAATGATCGACCCATCTTACTATCCCAAAACAATTTGTATGGGACAGGATCCCTCACACCCAATTAGTGTTGAGGGGCCATG